AGAGAATTAATTTGCTGTTTAGAGGTACAGATCCATTCCTGTAGATTAGCTGTTCTATTTTGGGCTTGGAGGGAGAAGGGATTAACATTTTTTTCTATTCTAGCAGGCTGTTGAATAACACTCGGTATAAACAGAAAGAGCTATCAGCCTTTTTGCAGGCAGAAATCAAAACCAAATGGCAGCTAAAAAAGTCCAGTAAAGACAATCCAGGCCTTGTTTTAACAGGTTCAGGAAAAAGATGTTAGGGTTTCATTCAGTTTAAATAGGGAAGATACATTTTTGGAAGTGCTACTTCAATCCTCAAGTACTTTGCAAGAATTATCTAAATTGTTTAATGTGTTATATGAGATGTCTGAATTAGAACCCAATGAGTGTTTTCTCCCTGAACTTAATCTCAAACTCCAAAATTAGACCTTTGTGCCTGTATGTGGCCTTATATTCTCTAAATTTTTCTGTGTAAGCAAAAACTAACTTCACTGAATTGTCTGGCTCCTTTCTAAAGAAAGATCTCTATGAAATGGCAAGTGGTATGAATGTCTTTAAATATATTTTTTAATTATCATAGTTTATTTATGAATATATTTTATTTGTAATAGAGTTAATAAAAAGAAGCATATAATGAAAAGTGTGAAAATTTCTTTTTACTCTCTCCTATAATCCCCCTCTTCTCCCGAGGTATCTGCAATTATTAATTTCATGTTTAATTTTATAATTATTTTTTCTACGCTTTTATATATGTACACACATTCATACTTTTTTCCAGCTGTATTGAGATATAACCAATATGCAAAATGGCACACAATGTATACAATTTGATGAGTTTGGACATATGTATATACCAGTGTTACCATCACCACAATCAAGGCAATAGCCATATCCATCACCTCCAAAAGTTTGCTCAAGTCTCTTTGGTTTTTTTATTTGTTTGTTTTTTTGTTTTTTGTGGTAAGAACACTTAATATGAAATTTAGCCTCTTAACCAATTTTTAAGTGCGCAATACCTCATTGTCAATTCTTGGCACTCCAGACCTTATTTGTCTTGGATAACTATAACTGTACATCCAGTGAAGAAGAACTCTGTATGTCTTCCTCTTCCCATCTTCTGGTGACCACCATTGTATTGTCTGCTGTTATAAGTTTGACTGTTTTAGGTGCCTCTTATAAGAGAAATCACGCAGTATTTTTCCTTATGTGACTCACTTATTTCACTTGGCATAATGTCTTCTAGGTCCATCCATATTATTTCAAATAGTATGATTTCCTTTTTTTTTCAAGGCTGATCAATATTCAACTGTATACATATACTACCCAAAGTGATTTACAGATTCAATTTTATTCCCATCAAAACCCAATGGCACATTTTACAGAAATGGGCAAAAACAATCCTGAAATTCACCTGGACCCACAAAAGACCCCGAATAGCCAAAGGGGTCTTGAGAAAAAACAACAAGGCTGGGGGGCATTATACTTCCTGATTTAAAAATATATTAAAAATCTACAGTAATTAAAATAGTATGAAACTGGCATAAAGACAGACAAATAGACCAATCAAACAGAATAGAGAGCCCAGAAAGAAATAAACTTACACATATGTGGTCAACTGACAATCAGTAAGGGTGCCAAGAACACATAATGGAAAAAGGATGGTCTCTTCAACAAATGGTGCTGGGAAAATTGAATATCCACATGCAAAAGAATGACATTAGACTCATCTTATCATACACAAAAATCAACTCAACATGGATTAAAGACTTAAATATAAGCCCTGAAATTATAAAAACCTTAGAAGAAAATGGGGGAAAAGCTATATGACATTGGTTTTGGCAATGATGTCATGGCTGTGCAGCCAAAAGCAAAATGGGACAAGTGGGACTATGTCAGGCTAAAAACCTTTTGTACAACAAAGGAAACAATCAGCAGAGTACAAAGACAACCTAGCAATGGGAGAAAATATTTGTAAACCATGTATCTGATAAAGGGTTAATATCCAAAATATATAAGGAACTCCTATAACTCAATAGTAAAAAGGCAATCCAATTAAAAAATGGTCTAAGAACTTGAACAGGCATTTCTCCAAAGAGAGAACATGTTCTCCAGACATATTTACCGAACACGTGTCCAAATGGCCAAGAAATACACGAAAAGGTGCTAAAAATCATTAATCATCAAGGAGATGCAAATCAAAGCCACCATGAGATATCACCTCACACTTGATAGAATGGCTGTTATTCAAAAGACAACAAGTCTTGGTAAGGTTGCGGAGATATTGGAACTCTGCATACTGTTGGTGAGAATGTAAGACTATCTGGTAGTTACGTGATCTTGGCAAGTTATTCAACTTCTCTGTGACTTGATTTTATTATTTGCAATAATAATTCTTTAATCCATACAGAATTTAGTTTCATATATGTAATGAGGTTGGGATATAATTTTATTTCTTCTCAAAGTAATTAGCCAATTATCAGCAATCCATTTATTGAATGTCAAGTTTTCCTTATTGATCTTAATGCACACATACACACATATGCACACGTCTCTGGACTTGCTTATCTTCCATTAAACCATTTGTCTATTCTTATTGCAATACCACACTTTTAATTTCAGAGATTTTGTTATCTTTTTATAGAGAAATCCTCCCATCCCAATTCTTCTTTTGATATTTGATATTTGCCATTGGAACTAGACTAGTTTCCTAACTCCAAATGCAAAGACGTGTAACAAAAGGCCCTGGACTCCATTTGATAGTTTAATGATGTTATTGTTAGTATTATTGATGTTTTCAGAAGATTAGGAACCGACATGGAAAGAATTCATATTTACTTTTAGGTGGAGACTTTGAAACAACCAGCCAGTTCCTACTTCTTTACCATCATTGGAGAGAGCCCAGACAGTGAAGCCTAATGACCTAGCTCATCTTAGGAAACAATAAAACATATTTGCTGAACACATTACCACCAGCACTCTAAATATGTTATTTATTTTAATTGTCCTGACAGCGCTGTGAAGTGAACATTTCCATCCCTCTTTTCTGGAAGAGAAAATGGATACTTGAAAGTTAAGTAACTTGCCCCAAATCTCATAGCTCACAAGCCCTAGAGCCCAGGATTCTAACTCAGAACTATAAGAGTCCAGAGTTTTTAATATGATTATCATATACTTTTTATTATTTTTTACCATTCATATCTGGCATCGTCACCCCATCACTAGGCCTATTTTCGAAAGGAGTTCTACAATTTAAGCCAGGCTGAAATTGATGATGCTGGGATGGTTTGTAGTTGGAAGATCATGACTATTCTCTTGATTTCACAGTATAAGTTAATATCTAGGGCAGGAGTTGGCCCTAGAAAGGACCAGAGAGTAAGTATTTTACTGTGAAGGACCAGATAGTAAAAGATCAAATAGTAAATATTTCAACTTTATGGGCCACAGGGTAGTGTGAAAGCAGTCATAGACCACACATAAATGTGCATGACTATATTCCAGTAGGTTCCAAGAGAACTTTACTTACAAAAACAAGTGGTAGGCATGATTTGGCCCATGCTCTCTAACTGGTGGACTTCTCATATAAAGGACTTACAGTGTCTTTTGGGGTAGCCTACCTCCTTTTTTTTTTTTTTTTCTTGGTGAGCAAGACTGGACCTGAGCTAACATCTGTGGCAATCTTCTTCTATTTTTGGTGTGTGGGACCCTACCACAGCATGGCTTGATGAGCAGCACATAGGTCCTCGGTGGGGATCCAAACTTGCAAACCCCAGGCTAACAAAGCGAAGCACATGAACTTAACCACTATGCCTCTAGGCTGGCCCCTGCCTGCCTTCTTTTCCTCCTGTGATTTCTAGTTTTGTTCAACAAACAGTTCAGGCCAATCAATATTTGTTGAACATCTACTATATGTCTCACTGAGTTTAGAATAGATGTGAAGAAAATGCAATCTCTGTTCTCAAAGAATTCAAATTCATTTTCTTTTCCTATTCTTTCCACCTTAAACTTGTTGCTTGCATTCATTTCCTTGTAATTTAGATGCAAGATTTTTGTTTAGTTGTATTCTTTTGTTTTTTTATGAATAGTCATGCTTATTAGATAATAGTTATAGCTTTTATTTTTTTAATATAGCACCTTTTATACAATGTTTAAAATATTGCATTATCATAGAAGATAAATGTGTATTAAATGAAGAAAATATGTTTTAGTGAAGACAAAGTAATTAACAATTGCTGAGATTACTTACCTTTGCTGTAGTTTTGATCTTGCCTCCTGAATGATGATAAAAAAGACCAAATTCTTTCTACACATGAATTCATCTACAATTCAACCTGGTGGTTTGCTATTATCAAAGTCTTTTTTAAAGTCTTAGTTAATACATATGTATGATCTCTCCAAGGACAATTTTATTTGATTCATCCTGCAACCAGCTCCTACTGCATATGTAACTTCAGTAAGCTTCAGAGGATAATGAGGTGGTGTGGTCCACTGTGTCGAGCAATTACTGGGCTTCAAGAGTTTCCTAATCCTTTCTGAGGTTCCAGGAAAACTCTTCCTGGGTCCGTGGGCATGGGTGACAGTCTGTGCCACCCTCAAAGTAGTCAGGAGATTGGAATTCCATGGTGATTCTCTGCTACATAGCAAGGGCCTGGCTCAAAGCCTTAGTAGCATTCCAGAGGCATTCTACCCACAATGCCTTTTATAGATCTTTGCTTTTAATGTCTCCCTCAAACTATTTTCAAAAGCAAAGACAAATAAAAAGGTCGCCATTTCCATTTAGTATTTCAGCTCCTTTGTTTTTTTGTTAGTCTTTTGATTAAAACAAATAAATCAAAAACCACAAAACTTTTCATTTTTCCTGAGAGTTTACCTCTTACAGGGTTCACAACAAAATAGACCATCCAAACTCCCTTCAGAGTCTCATAAACGACAGGGCTTCAGCTATGCAACAGGGAGTTTGCGCCACTGACCAATGTCAAGTTGAATAATCTCCTATGACTTTTGTTCATCCACAGAAAAGAGGCTTTTTTTAATAGAGATTGAAAGAATTGCTCTGCACTTGGTTATTCGAATGCTGATCTTTGAACTGCCCAAGACAGAAGGGAGTTAAAGAACAGCAGTGAAGAAGAAAGTCAACTGAAAGGGAGCCAATATTGGTTGGATATCTCCTATGGTGCAGGCATTGTAAAAAATTGCATTCTGCGGACAGAGAGATGTGAGTTCAAATCTTGGTTTCACCACCATGTAGCTGTGTGTCTTATGCAATTATTTTCTTCTCTGTGCCTCAGTGGTATCATCCATAAAATAGGAATAATAATAATACTAACTACCTTATAGAGAGGATACATGGGGTCTTTAAAACATACCTGAGTCAGAGTAAGTGTTAAACTAATATAATCTATTATCATTAGCTATTGATTTTTCAATTATATTTGTCATTAATAAAAGTCATCACAAACGTTTATTTTTTATTCAACAGATGTTAATAAGTTATTACTACCTGCTAAAATCAGTGCTATAGTTATTTTGCTACAACAATAATGTAATTATAATTCCTGCCCTGTAGAATTTGAAAGTCTAGTGAGGGATATAGACATATACACACGATATGGCAAACCTGAGAAAACGTTCGTTATGTGAGTTGGCACAGGTTTTAAAGATAGTACACAGGAAGGATGTTTGATCTAGAGGTGGATAGGGCTTAGGAGAGGCTTATGGGAATGGTGGCATCTAAATTGAGAACAAAAGTCTCAAAAAGTCTCGAAGTTGGGAAGCAATGGAGTAAGGGAAGAAATATCTTTTGGGCAAAAGGAACTATTTATGCTGAGAGAACTTTGCTTATTCTGGAAAAGCAAGTATTTCAACTTGACCAGATGTAGAGTAGAGGAGGTGGGGGCTGACACTAGTTGCATCCAGAGGCAAAGGCAGAGTGTTAAAACATCAAGATTCTTATTTCCGGACTAGCGAGTTAGGTACTTACCTTGAGAGCAGCGAAAGTTTCAACGAAGCGGGCCTATCCGTTGTGAGGCAGGTATTATACCCATTTGACAAGTGACAAAACTGAGGTTCAGAGATGCTACATAATAATACAAAATTAAGAGAAGTTTCTATTCTGCAACTTACATCATTATTGCATCTGAAATCCTGTTTTCTGCTTTCGAGAAAATTTAGGAAAAGTAGAACATTGTTGTAAACTAGAATTGTATTGTTTGTTTGATGGAAACATACACCCAGAGGAGTAGGTGGACTTAAAAGAATTGTGATGGGGGCATCTCCAGTCCTAACATCCTTCCCAATCACTCTGCCTTTCCTAGCCTGGGAATGGTGTATGTAAAAGTAAAGACTCAAACACCCTGGCATACAACTCGCTCACTCTGGCCAGCGAGTTCCTGTTGCAAAGAGCAGTGTAAGAGATTCTTGCATACTATCTCTTCCATGTTATTAGGACTTTTTGGGGAGTGACTTTTTGATTTCTTTTATTCTGGGGGAAGATCAAAAATGTAAAAATGTCTAAGATTTAGTGAAGGTTTCTAGTGACTATAAAATGAATCTGCTCAACCAAACTCTACTATGTACTCAGGTTCCTCTTGGCTTAATTTATAGGAAAAGAAAAAATCATTCATGGAAGATAATTGAGTGCCAACAGTGTTTCAGGTTCTGTACTAGGTGTTTATGTTAACTGTCTAATTTAAACCTACCATTTACTTTACCCTTTAAGAAGTGTTTGCATAGGGGCTGGCTCCGTGGCTGACACACACACACACACACACACAAAACAACAAAGCACGGTCTTGCAGGAGTACCTCCTGCTGTGGCTTGGTGGTAGGAGGAATGGCATCTTAGCCTTCTGACAGAGAAAAGGAGAAAGCAAAGATGGTGGAGGTTTTCTGGTACACAGATACCTACCCATGAGAAGTTCAACTATCCTTTGAGCTCACACCAATTAGATGACTCCAAATGAGCTAGCTTCATTGGCATCTACATCAAGGACAATTCAAGAGACTGTGGCTCTGGTGCATAGATGGGCATCGAGGCATGAATTTTCACCATCAATACAGCATATTACCACTATGGAAGATCAAATGAAGAACGCCAAGGCATAGGACCCGCCAGTACATACTCATGAGGATCCCAAGGGAGTAGATAAAAAAGATAAAAATTGAGTTTATGGTAACTTGGACATTTTTGTTATTCATTTATCAAGAAACTCCTCCTGGGAGGAAAACAACTGTGCTTTTCTTGAACTCCCCTCAGAAAATCAGGCTTTGATCTACATTTATACAGATTACAGAAACCCTTCTTTTCATTGTGTTGAGGTTTCATTTTACAGGTGATTTGTCTTTTCTCTTTGGTGACTTTTAAAATCTCTACAGTTTCAATCTGACATGTCTCCATGTATTTATTTCATTTGGAATTTGCTATAGTACGTGAGTCTGGGGGTTCCTATCTGTTTCATCAATTATGAAAAGTTATCAGCTGATATCTTTTCCCTCCCTATGCTTTCCATTCTTCTTTAACTCGAATTAGATATATTTTAGGTCTTCTTATTCTACCTCATGTCTCTTTCATGTTTTCCATCTCTTTGTCCCTCTGAGGTACAGTCTGTGAATTTCTTCTATCTACATTGCAATTCAGTATTTATTTCTTTAATTCTGTCTAATATATGCATTTGATTTTAATTGCATTTTTCATATTTTTATCCCTAGAATATCCATTTAATTTTTCCCTTATCAGCCTGGTTTTAATTTTTAATATTTGATTCTTCTTGCAAGTTTTGATACTTGATACTTACACAAACGTTTTAAATATATATAATTTTTATGCTATATCTGTGCTTATTTTGTCTGAATTTTAGTGGGATCTAACTGTGCTCTTTATTTTTCTGCTGATCCTACTTGGAGTGGCTTCTTTCCTCCTGTGTTTGTTTGTTATATTATGAGGTCATATGCACTAAAGATTTATTTATGGGAAACCAGTGAGGCCTGAAATGAGGATAGGCCTTCCAGAAATAACTTTTATTTCTGCCAGTTGCCCCCAAGTCACTGCCAACCAAGGAGTAACCTGTGTTGCTTTTTAATGTTGGAGTTTCCAGAAATATGTAAGCCAAATATGCATCAGGAAAGTTCTCAAATATTGAATTTTGGGGGTAAACTTTAATTTTTCTAAGCAGATTGCAGGCTAAAATAGATAAGTTTTCTTGTCAACTACCCCTTTCCTTGTGGACATTTTCTAGTCTACTTGCCACTGAGGGCATAGCTCCTCTCAGTTCCTGCCCTTTTGAAGTAAGCTCTGTTCTCCCACAGCGTCTTGCTTGGGCTCAAGGTCATTTCTCCTGTTCTTGGTACAGCCATTAAAACCTAAACTTCTTGGTTACTGAGATTGACAAGCTCCCCTAGGGCATCCGTGGCTTTAGCATCAGCCTGCCATTCTGATTCCTATCTCTCTTTTGAATTCTGGCCTCTGGAGACTATCCTTAATTTCTAGTGAGTTCAGTTATGCAGTTAGAAGGATATTTATTATATTTTATCTAACATTTGTCGGTGTTTAGCGTTCGGAGGTTTTTGAGAAATTGGTTTACAAACATTACCAGAAACAAACTCAGAAAGTAGGAATTAGAGGCTTTTGATGATCTTCAGTTCTGGAGTCTTCATGGCATCCATGATAAACACTACTTCTAGATATTTTCCAACCAGCTCAGATTTGGGGAGCTAGAACTAGCAGTTCTCTTTTTAATGACTCAGTTTATATGAATTTCACAGATCGGAGGGACCATAGCAAGAATATTGGGCACTAGCAAGATTTGTTTTTTCATAATTGCCTAGACAATTGAAGTTAACCAAAGGTAGGAAAAAGAAGTCTAGAGGCAGAAAGCTGAGCATTTAAATTTTTTAGCCTTGAGATAATTATTTCCTTAGAGAATAGGGAAGAATTTCAACATGTTTCTGCTTGTCTGCATATCTTATCACATTCTATTTTAATATTAATTTGTATAGATTAATATTTATTAATAGTGGGAATATTGATGAGGAATTTTGCATATCTAGAGAGAAGGCAAAGAGGCAGATGTGGAAAAATGGCAAGCGATTCATGCAGTGAAAGTGGAGGCGCTCACGTATCCTATCCCCTTCTGTTCAGCCATCATGAGCTGCATTAGGAGTGTTGAGAATATGGCAGGATCAGCATGTTTCCCCTTTGTGGATCACTATAGTGAACATTTTGTTAATAATATAATATATATAATATAACACAGAAGATACTTTAAAATGCATATGAAAAGATTCATAGCTAATATAAATATGGATATCAATGTGATTTAGTTTGTAAAATCGTAGTATATCCACAATGACCTCACAGTCCAGACTGACAAGTACCACGCACAATGCAAGCGCAAGAAAATCTGGCTAGACTGGACAGTCCTTTGGAACTTTTTCTTCACAACAGCAGTATGAATGCAGTTGTGTTATGTAATTCACTGAGTCCATCCTCTATTTCAACATGATAAGTCGTCTGGCTGGAAGTCAGGACCCCCTCTTTTCTTAGTTAATTTATGTTAAGGCAGAGATTCAGATAGGCAAAGAGTAATTTGGCTGAATCAAAATACATTAATACCTATTCATGTGATTAGAGAATACTCATTGTTTCCTCTGTCTGCATCTAGATTATAACCAATATGATCAGCTTCATCAATCTGGAGTTAGGCTGATACACGACACTTTGAGAGGGACCATTCACATTTGCAAAACCTGCACAACTGTACACAAGGGGTCCTCGTCTGGATAGAAAGATAAGATTATGTTTCTTATTCACACTTTTGCTACTAGAGGAAAATCTTTTATCTGTCCCAGAATTTCTTCTCCCATCATTATCCCATAGTGCCTGCTGCTTTCTTTCTTTCTGTCTCTCTCTCTTCCTTCTTTCTTTTTTTTTTCCAGAATCAATCTGGACTGAATGCTTGTCCAGGTGTCAAACTCAAGCCAGCACCCTGAAGACTGGAAGCTTCAACCCTTACCATCTGAGAGCTGATTACAAGCTACCAAGATAGGTGCTGCTGCTGAAGCTTTAGGCAGCTGCAAGCCTGGAACATCAGCAGGCATGCCTGGCCCACGGATGCTGTTGCCCCTCCCACTGTCTCAACCCACTGTGGTTCTCTACAGCCTGGTCATGCTCAGAGGCAAAACTTTGTTGCTCCCTTTGGCTTGTTCTTGGACTCAGGTGCCTCATCTGAGTGTAGGGCTCCTGTATATCACTCTGATCCAGAGCTTTCCACAGACTAACATGTGCAAAGGACAGTCCTGTGCTAATGCCTTATAGAGAGGCTGCAGCTGCTGCCACGGCTGCTAAGTTAATATTTGCACAATTTGATGCAGTTATTTTTTTCCTCCAACATTATCAGGGCACAATATTGTTGCTGTTCCATATCCACAGGAGAAGCAAGAGGAGACCTCTCTCTCAATGTTATTATAGCTACTGTCGTCTCTTCCCTCCATTAGAGTGGGATCCTATAAATGCATTTTTCTTTTACTTTCATGTGCACGGTCATTATTCGCAGAGCACTCCCATGGTGCTAGTGTACTTTGGCCAAAAGAAAAGTCTTATTTCTGCTACATATTAAAATAAAAATGTGTATCCTCACTGTTCTCATGATCAGCACCTTCCTGAAGAGCCTAGCTTCCTTTAGACATTATCTCATCTCACCGGAGAGGTTCTCACTACCAAGGAAGAAATGGACTTTTCCCCCTTAGTTTCATAATTAGAGAGACCACTCAGCTAATTCTCATGAAAACAAAAGACCTCTGCTCCGAAGTGACTTGTAGACAGAACTGCTTGGCATAGATGTGGCTGGCAACTTTTGAACAGCACATTCTTTGGGAAAGAAGAGGCCAAAACAGAAAAAAAGAAAAAGAAAAAAAGGTTTTGCATCTTACTAACTAGCTTGTGGGAGGAAGGTGGGTGGCAGCCCTGCTGCTCTCTATTCATTCTCTTTACCAGAGAGACACCCTCAGGAGAAAGAAAAGAGGCAGGTAATTGGGTCTAAACTTCTCAACTTGACCTCTGGGTAAATAAAGGAATACCATTTGCCATGGGGAAGAGTTCTTATCTACAGACTGCCCTCAGCAAGCTGGCCATGGTTAAAGAATCACTTATGGTAAATAAGCCCATAATCTGTTCAATCTGGCTCCCTTGAGAATGTCACTTAAACTATATAACTCTCTAGGTATAAAATGAAGGTTTTTCATATCTTGAATGCTCCCTGTTGTAGGAGAAATCTCACTAAACCTCCTAGGAGAACGAGCTATTGTTCTGTGTCAGAGAGCATGTGTCCAATGTAGAAAGGAAGGGCCAGGGGACCACCCCTGATGTCCTTGCATGTTGGAAATATTTAAAGGAAAACTTATCAGAATTTCAAAGTCTCTGAAGACAAAGTTGGATGGAATGAGTATTCTTGGACTCCCCTCTTCCACATCAATTCTTTTAATAGCTTGTGAGTTATAAGTGTAATGGGATAAGAAATTTTTTCTGATGCAATAAATTAATTATAAAAATATGTGATTGATGTGAATGGAAACCATCCTAATTAGATGATGATGAGAATTGCATGAAGGATAATGCATGACAAGTGTACCATTATAAGGTTGTATTTCTGTTGAGGGATTTAAGTAATTCATACTTGTTATTTATAAGATATTGAAAAGCCCCAAGGTAGAAATACAACTGTATATTCATGTATTTCCCTTGAAGTATCTTGAATAGTGTATTTTGAGGAATTTTAAAGCTAGTTAATATGTATTATGTTGAAGTTAATAGTGATTTTAACACTACGTGATGAATTTTTCCAGATGCTATGACATACTAAATAGAGATAACTCTTTCAAACCGTATTTAAAGGCTAAAATGCAAAGAATACAGGGACTTTTTAGGAAATTTTCAAAGCAACTTTCCATTTTGTAATGTTTGCCTGAATGAAATAATTACATTAGCAAGTTAGTTGTCATAAATGCTTTTTTCAAATGAGGTAGCCTATAGAGAGATAACAGATAAATGACTGTGTGATATATTCTTACAGAGCACACTGATCTCATTGAAATTAGAACATTATAAATATAGTGTTAAAAATACAACAAATAATATTAAATTTCAGAAGGTCTGCGGATCTGAATTTAAACCTGTTATGTTTTCTAGGGTTTTAGGTTGTAGAGTATCTTAAAATTACTAAGGTCTTTATTATAACGCTTATTGTAAAATGCCTATGAAAGAGTAATGTTTCATAGGCAAGATCAGATTCTTTTTTCCTTCAGAGAGGAGGACAGTTTTTCTAGTGAGGCATAGCTGCTCACACCCTGGGATCCACATAGTATTTCATTCAGTGGAGAAGTGAGTTGCAACAAGATTTCAGGATTAGCCCAAAGATGGTGTGTGAGTAGTACACAGGACAAGAGATCAGAGGATGTGTACACTAATCCTGCCTGTGCTGTTGCTGAGAATGAGACTTCTCTGCTGTGACGGGAGGGATCATGGCAAAACTTCGCAGCCTGGTTCATCAGCCTAACACTAGATGGTCAGATGAGGGCAAACCTATAGAGGGGAACTTCCTCAAGCGTTGACATTGGGATGGAATAATTAGATTCCTTCACATTCTATCTTTTCATCATTAAAAGGACAAAGGAAGGATTTTCTCCTTGGTGAATAAAAACCACCAAATTCACCAAATTATATTATTCATCATTGACGGATTAGGACAAGGAAAATTTTTTCATGCTAAGGTCAAGGACAGAATAGGGCAGTATAGCAGCAGTCAATGAACCAAGGTAGATTGCAGTTTTGGCTACTACAGAATATTTGTCTACATAAAAGACATCATTGGATGCTGTGACCTCTCAAGGTCCCTCACGGGTCTATTATTCTCAGAATTTTATCTTCCTTTCCATTTTAATACTGTCCCGGGTCTGCTTTTCTTTCCAGTTCATTTTCTTCTGCTTTCTTCATTTTCTTAGATGCATTTTGATCTCTATCTCCACTTTCTTGGGAAAATCGATAGCTTGTTAAAAAAAGATGGTGACACCTGAAAAGGTGGGGCTAATGATCCTACTCCAGAAGTCATTGTGCTAACTGGATTTGTTAACCATATCTAGCCTCTTCCCATCAGAAAGGACCAAGAATCCAAATGAATGATATAAAGAAATTGTATTTTGGCTGGTGGGGGAGGAAGAAGAGAGGAAAGGAGAAAATACAGTAGTTTTTTAAATACTGGAAGAGATTTTTAGGCAATTAAAAGCTGGTTATTGTTGTTTTTGTTTTTGAGATAAAGAATTAAAACATCTTAAAATATTTTTATTTAATATGGGAGCGTAGTCCTACAAAATAAGGAACATTCTATGAAAAGAAGTTGCTAAAGAAGTATTGAAAATGCTTCCTTTGGAACCAACTATATTTCTGAGGAGATGTTGCTTCGGATATAGGGATATAAAATCAGACGACTTGGAAATAATAGTATTACATTTTTGTTTTATTACTAATGAAAAATAACAATATAAAACTAAGGGAAATAATCAGATTAGCAGAAGCATCTTTCTTCTCAGAGATGACTGTTCGAATACTGTTCCAGACATGTTCTTCTGGCAAAATAACTAACTGGATAGATGCATGACAGATAGTTTGATAAACTACTCTTCATTGTAAATTTTTATTTTTCACTTAATAAAACCTGAGTGTTCTTCCATATCTTAAATGTGATTCTATAAAATGATTGCTAGTTGCTACAGAATTTTACCTGTGCTGCATCAACTTTTATATACATGTTTCTTCATGATTGCAGACAGAGAGAGATAGAGGTAGGGAAGGAGTGAGGGGAGGAAGATGGGTGCAATAGAGGATGACAAGTAGGGAGGAGTAAAGACAGGCAGAATGCAGAGAGCAGAAGCAGAGAGAATAATGAAGCAAATACTGGGGATTTGAGGTTTGAGTCTCAGTTCGCTGGCTCACGGGATGCAAACCATCTCCCGTTTGTTATCCAATTTCAGAGTGGTCGTTGTCCACTGGAACTGCTCAGTGTACAGATTAAGACCCTGGAAAACTTGAAAATTCTTTGGTTTTGGAACCAGAGAGGTTGCTATTCATTTACTTAGTAACCTGCTGTTTTGGGGTATGTCACCCCACCACTTTGATCTATGGTTTCCTCTCTGCAAATTGGAGATTTATCTTGTAGGGTGCTTGCAAGTTTTCAATTAAATTAGGTTTTTTTTAAAGTCTTTAGGTGATTGACAGGTGCTGGGTAAGCGCTCAGCAAACATTAGATTAAACCATATTAAACTTCTATTTTTATAGATCATAAAAGGTCAAATATTGGCAATTTTACATGGTTCAACCTAACATTGATTTTCTCCTTTTCTTTTAAGCTGCTGGGAAACCACAGACCAACACCCCAGGCACTAAACAGTACAGTCCTATTCCACAGCCTGCTCAGACCCTGCTCCTGCTGTTGTCCATGTGTGAGACCCAGCCTCGCACTCCCTTGACCATGACGTGAGTTATTGACTGCTCATCACTCTGGGGCCGGTAGGACTCTGCCTGTGGATATTTCCTCGTGTTGTCAGGTGATTGGCCTTCTCACTGAGCTCTGGGTCCTGGGCAACCTACATTGGACTCATTATACCACCAGTGGAGCTATGGCTAGTTTTCCCCACGTATAGCCATTTGGATTTCATTCCACTTGAACTCAATTTAAACTATCATGGCTTAGGAGCACTATGCTTTCAAGGACCAAATAGTCCACCCGCCATGTAGTAATAACCAGAAACTGACCATTCTTTAAATGGAGGCTGCACTCACACCATAGCAAACATCCTGCTATTTCTTTAACTCAGGATGCTGTTTCTATGCTTTTGCCTGTCCCTCTGCGGGCAACACCTTTTTTTTTAATTGACAAACTCCTACTCCTCCTGCAAGAGACAGCTCATAAGTCTCGTACTCCATAAAGCTTCCTCCAAATTCCCTAGGCAGACGTACCTGCACTACCCCTGTGCTGCCACTGTTCCTCTATACGCAGCCATCTTAACAGTCACCACACTATATGAGAGTGTGTCTCCCCACTGAGTTGTGAACTGCTTGAGAGCAGGAACAGTGTCTTTACATTGAAAGATTCCCAATATTTGGCACAAAAACTGGAACACAATAGGCACCTCCTAAAATATGTCCTGAAAAAAATTTAAAAAATGGACTAAACTTTCTTAAGGGCCCAAGAACACATGATTTAGGGCTTTGGGTTTTTTTTTTTTTTTTCACTTGAGGAAGATTAGCCCTGAGCTAACATCTGCATCAATCTTCCTCTATTTGTATGTGGGATGCCACCACAGCATTGCTGAAAATTTTGTAGGTCTGTGCCTGGGATCGGAACCTGCAAACCCGGGCTGCCAAAACGGAGCCTGCAAACTTAACCACTACACCACCAGGCCAGCCCGTGATTTGGGTGTTTTTTTTGGTATTAGTGGTCTATTTCTTTCCTCCTTCCTTCTCTTCCTTCCTGCCTCACTTCTATTCATTCTTTCTTTTCAATTCACGGTTAAAAATTTCGAATTTGTCTGCCTGGTTAAAAGCTTATGGGAATTTTAAACATGCTGATTTGCACAGGTATAGAGAGAAAAAATAATCACACATAAAAATGAACTGAGTCCTCGGCATCCTTCAACCAACTGCTCTATTATCTCCTTTAAGATGATGCCTCAGAGTCTGCACATTTTCCTGATAAGAATAACTGCTGTCATATTTTTTGTTTCCATTTGAACATTTTAAAGACGTTTGCTATTAGCGCTAATTAGATGTATAAGAGCCTTCCTGAGCAAAGTAGATAGTCACAGCTAATTCACGATGAATTAATGATAGTAGCTAAATTGCCACATAGATTTGCACTTTGGGTAGGGTTAAATTACCAGATAATGTGAACACTGCTTAAAGTAAATTTAATATTTAATGCAAATCATAGTTTTATTAAGTTCATAATAATTTTGAAATTTTCTCAACGTTGTTCCAAATGAGCATCTGTATAAAATCTACTTTAAAAGTAAATAAGCTAATAATATGATAACGCCAGTAGAGGGAATAATAACATTAGCTATTCATGGAACACTTATTATTATTTTTATCATTATTATTACATTTTTGATTTTCCGCTATTTGTCTAAGTGTCATATATACGGTGCAAACCAAGTTCCTCTAGTGTAAATGTTAAACACTGGAGCCAGTTCTTTAACTTTTGAGTCATTAGGGCATTGATGGAGCTGGAGCCATCATTTGTTAAATGACTGCTTCGTTGCCTTAATGTGGGTGGCGTATGTGTGTATGTGTGTGCCTTTCTCAAAAGTTAGACAGTTTTCTCTCAAAGTAGGTTATACACAGAGAGAATGTGTTTAATTATTTACTTCTCTCTTATTGAGTAGAAATTAAGTTGCAGTCTGATTTATTTCAAAGGAAAATTTGAGAGTTTTGAGGCAAGAATGACGTTGAAAGTTAAGCTACCAAGTGACACAGAACTCAGAGAAACAGAGTCCTTGTGAGCAGGATTTAAGGACTCGTCTACAAGTTTCAATCTGTGCTGCGGCTGATTCCTGATTTAGAGAATGCAGACTTTTTAGTAAAGAAGACCCATAACCTGTTTTATGCACACTGATCCCATGTTCCTGCTGACGTGTAAAACTAGGGGATCAAATAGAATGGACCTGAACTGATGTATGTTATCTACCTACTGTAAGCCAAAATTTGTTCCCGTGCGTTGTATATGTTATTGTACTTATCTCAAAATTGGGTACCTACTGGGGGAAAATAGGAAGCTCTTAGAGTATTTGTATTTCCCTCTTTTATTTTTACAATTTTGGTAACGATAGCTCCAAATTCTACTGGGTTGAAATTTTTCTTAACACATGACTTTGGGTCCAGATCATCCCATAGACAGAAGGAAATAGGAAGACTGCTTGAATGCAGTCCACCTGGCCTGAGGACCAGACTATCTTCTGTGCCTTTGCTAAGGCACTGGGCAGTTCTGGAACGTGATAAATTATGCTTACTAACTGTTTGTTGAGTGAGAGAATAAATGAAAAAATCACCTCACAAAACTTCACTTTCCATCATTGAACTGTAGAGTCTAATTCCCTTTTTTCTTTGCTATACTAAGTTTTTAGTGCCTTGCCCTCCTGATAGTAAGCAACACTACTTTCGAACCTTGTTTCCTACACATTTGGTTTTGCTTTAGAAAATGGATTCCTCAGCCTGTCTAGCTGTTGTCCTGGCCTCCTGAATTTTATATCACTAGTTTCCCTGCTTTGGGACCAGAAATATTTAAATCCCAACTGCGTCAATCCAAAATGTTGTCCTTTCCCTATCCTCTTCCTATCTTCCAAGAAACTAACTTGAAGATGTTGCCAGATGTGGCCAATAATTTGTACTCCAATAATTTGAGGTTTGTTTCAGTTTTTGGCATTCCCAGAGTTTGTTTCATTGGGAAGAATAATTTAGGTTTCTTCAGCTTGAGTATATGGTAGTGGTAGTGGGTAGAGGAAAAGATGAGGGCAGATATTCATGTCTGTGCCCAAGAAAAGACTCTTGTCCTTCCTGCTAATCTGCAGTTTCAAGCCACTCTTCCTATGAAGTGTCACTACCTGTACCTATTGCTTTCAGCCCAGTAGCTTTCTTTCCTCTCTTTCCTTCAAAAACTCAGTGAAGAGTAACTCTGACTATAATTATAGGCACTCCTTTAGTAGGAAATATAAATCTCTCATAAACACTAACCTGTTCTATTTGTTTTTAAATTTTGGTAACAATTTCCAAATATATCTCAGCTTTGAAGAAACTGCATAAATTAGGGAAAATTTTCATGGAGAGAGGAAACTCCCTTGGTTAGCTATGCACAAAATGGACAAACATGGGATTAACTGGGAAAGAAATGGAATGCATTCTTCATTTTATGCTGCAAATCATCTTAAGACTTTCACTATTATTATAAAGTAGACCTTGGAAGCTATGAAAGATGGGAGAAGAGAGGGGTTGAGACTGGCTTTGGGGAATCTAGGAGTACAATTGACTCAGCAAAAGTGGTTTTATGGATTTCTTCTGTATCCATCAGTCAACACTTCTGATAACCTCTTGATCATCTGCTCTATAGAATGTCACTCAATGTGTCATCTTCTGAAATTTCTGGAAATCTAACAAACCTTAAACCACATTTCCATTTAGAATCAATTTTCTGGAAAAGAGTAGTGATTCCTCCAGGTTACCACAATTGGCAACTTTCCCTGTTGCACTCCCAATATTGGAATGAAGTAGCCATTAACAATTGTCACTTATAATGTTAGAGCAAAGTGATATATTTCATATACTCATGTGTATATCAAAAGTGAGTAACTTGAGTTGTCAGCTCTCTACTCAGCATCACTATCAGTCCCTTCTATGTTCTCCTCTGCTTCTGTGCTACCAGCTTTGATTGTTTGCAGTGACTTCCATGATCTCTGCTCTTCCAGACTTTCCAACAGTTGTGTAAGACTCTAATTCCCTGTATTAAAAAAATCATAATTGGGATCCATATAATATTTTCTGACTGAATTTTGACTGATATTTTTCTATACTTGGAGCAGTTCCAGGGAAATAGAACATCAAATATAAGAATTTGGGATTGGCTCAATGATTTGAAGGTAGTAATCAACATCATTGCATTTCTATAGAAAAAAAGGAAACTCTGGTAATCAATGGCATGCAGTAGCAAAAACAATTAATTATCATCTGTAGCTGCTGAAATGAAGAGCTTGTGAAAGAAAAGACTGTAGAAGACCAAGTTTTTTGTCGTAGAACATTAGGGTGGAATTATGAAGTGGAGTACCTTGTTCTGACTGTACCATAAAGCTTGTGTACAGGCCTTAGATAATGGCATAGTCAGAAAACTAAACAGCTAATTTGACTGCCCTACAAAACACCTTTTATTTCGTCTAACTTGAAGGGTTGAGGCTTTTGAAAATTACATCCCAAGTCTGGTGATGTAAGTGGCTGAGTTACAACGTAAGTTGAATTCACAGCCTCATTTGGTCTTTTATTTAAAAAAAAATAGAGCACTTATCAGAAAAGAGTGGAATTCTGAAAACTGAATAACATGTCCCGTAATTTTATATTGAATATGTAAAGTTTTAGCCCCAACAACTTTATATGATTTTTTTTTGTACTTTGTTTACTTGGGTTGGTATGATACATTATATTTAAATTCCTTGAATACCATGGATCCCCCTAATGTGTACAAATGACTGAGGCTTTGTAAATTAAGGGATGTTTATGTGAATAAAGTGATTTTGATGGTTTTAACTGAGGTGGGTTTCAGGACAGAACAAGGCTTTGCAACTAGCTGAGGTTGCTGTTAAAGTCTCACGTGGGCAATATCACATAATAGATCCAATAGAGTGTGAAGTTCCCTATTCCTGGAGCTGGTTTATGGATGCCGTATGGAACATTTGGTGAATATTAATATACTTACAGCACAATACAACCCCCTAGAGTTCTAGGGAAAAATCTTGCTCTCTTATATAGAAAAATAGTCTCCTTTTGGGAATTAGTTCCTGGCCTGCTACCAAACCCTCAGGAGGACTGAATTCCTAACAATGGCATACAAGCAACCTGAGGTGCTCATAGTTCAGTGGGTGGATCTAAGTCATAAAATAAGGTATGCACAGTATTCATTCATCAAGTGGAAATAACATATAAGAGATTTGACTCACATTAGACATGAAGATATAAGTAAATATCATGAACACGTGACTCAGGCTTCCATGACATATATTCCTGCTACATTAACATCTCTCCCTCAATCTCTACTTTATGGCCTCATAAGGAGTTCCCTAGCACTAGCTGGATGTGAAAGGAAAAAATGGTCTGGTTTACAGGTGATTGTGAATTACATGCTGACATAACCCTAAAGTGGATCACGTCACTATGAAACCATCACTTGGCAGTGGCTCTGAAGAGCAGAGGGGAAGAGAATTCCATCAAACAGGAAGACTTTTGCACCAGACATCTGTCATTCACTCTACGTGAAAGAAGATATGGCTAGTGATAAAGATCTTACTCAACTGTGGGCAGTGGTAAATGTTTGGAAGAAATGCAACTGGAAAACTGACGACGACTTATATAAATGGACCTCTCAAAATGGTAATGAATGGAGATATCTGTATCCTGTAGCAATATTCACCAAAAGACATCTTCCATGAATGAGATTTTTAATAAATGAGATGCAAAAAATGACAAGCACTATGTATGTTCAATGGATTAATGAACAACAGGACAAAGGTAATAGGGATGGAGATTTATGCGTGGGATCAACAGACATAGGTTACCTCTTGATAGGAGTTTTCTGGCTACTACCATAGTCGCATTCCCAACCTCCCAGTAGCAGAAGGCAGTGCTGAACCTTTGATACACCATCCTTCTTCAGGGCAGGATAGAACCAGTTACTTGGGGACAAGATAATTACATTGGATCTCTTCAATCATGGAAATGGCTGCAATCTGTCCTCACTGGAGTAGATTCTTATTCTGGGTATAGATTTGCCTTCTCTGTCCCAAACACCTCTACCGGCACTTACTGCATGCTTTGTTTGCAATCAAGATGTCCCCTACAACACTGCCTTTGACCAGTGTACTTATTTAACAGCAAAATAAGTGAGGCAATGTACTTACACCCTGGAATTCACTCACTGACTCTGACAGACCTAAACCAGTGGCCTTATGGAAACATGTGAAATGGTGTACTGAAGGCTCAGTTATGGCAATTCTTGAGTGACAGCCCGAGGAGCTGAAGTATTATGCTACAAATGAGGTCTATTCTCTGATTCTCTGATTAATATTTGGTGCCATTTCTCCCATAGTCAAAAAACACTTGATCTGAAACAAAGGATGGAAGTGGGGGTTGCTTATCTCTTTATTGCCCCTAATAATTCACACAAAATTTTTGCTTTCTCTCCCCACAACTTTCAGTTTGCTGGTTTAGAGGATTTAGTAGCAATGGTGCTTCCATCAGGAGAAATAACTATTCCACTGAATTGAAAGCTGAGATCGCCACCTGGTCCTTGGGTTCTTTCTGACACTGAATACTCAGGCAGAGGAGTGGATTACGCTACTGACTTGAGTGATTGCTCCAATGGGGGCATGGAGGAAATGGTCTACAAGTCAGGAGATTCCTTAGGACACTATAGTACTTCATTTCCAGTGTTAGCATTTAATGAAAGTCTACAAGCAATCAAAGGCAGAACCCCTAATACCTCACATGTCTCATGAATGATGGTTTGGGTCACCCTAAAATGAAAAAAAAACCACAATCAGCTGATGTGCAAGCTCAGAATAAAGGGAACGTAGAGTAGGTGGTGGAGGCAGGAATTATGGCTATGTGACTACTTGCAGAAATGGAGATTGTAGCATCTATTAATATTTTTCTTGCTTGTTTTGTTATGTATGTACTTTTTAAATATCAACCATTCTCCCTTCCCATACTATCTATTAAAAGCCGTGTTAACAATGTTAACAGTGATTAATGCTATAAATCTAATCTTCAAGTTACAAGATAACAGAGAGATCGTGACTGCTGGAAAAAAATATTACCCAAAGATGAATACAGGGACATAATGGAATTTACATCTCAACCTTTGGAGAAGAGGTGGGCAAGTCTTCAGTGAATCAAGGAATTGAATTGTACTAGATAGAAGAAGGATGCTGTTTTTATTGTTATTTGGAAGTTTAATTATGTCTAAAAGGATAAATATGGATGCTGAATTGACAAAGTATATTGCAGAAGAGAAGCTGAAAACTACACTTCCCAGAATCCACTTCCCTATGTAATCACAGATTCTGGTCTGAGAATAAGAGGCACCAGAGAGATTCAGAAGGTAGAAGAGGAAAGGCACCAGAGGGAATAGGAGATAGATGTTTGGGGCCAACCACAGATGTGAGGTTCAAAGCAGCTGTATTATACTCAGAATATGCCGAGTAACTTCTGTTTTCCTTACTGAAGCCTGCCCGATTCTGTGAGAAAGCAAAAAATCCCCTCCTCTGGGTTAAGAATAAAATGAGTATTCCTCACCAACTTTCCTGCAATCTAAACCCTTGAGGTATTTAAGTTTGTGACCCTGGAATGCATGATGGTTTATGATAAAAGGCCTCTAAACTAGTCCTCTGCCCTCAAGCAGCTTTGAAAACAGAATATATACATTAAGAGAAAATGAAAATATAAAGTAACATGACCTAAGAAAGAAATGAGTGTATAGAGGAAATCTCTCCAAAATTTCAGAGGTAGCACCAATCTCTCTCTCACTTCAGAGTCTTTGCGTGCACCTTCTCCACTGCCTGGAAACTTCTCGATTCCAAGGCCAATCCTTTTGCTTCTTCAGGTCTTAAATGTCAGTTCTTCCTGGATTGACCACCCAATCTAAATTAAGTTTTCTTATTCTCTTTCCCAGCACCCAGTTTCTTTGCCTTCACTGCACTAATTGCTATTTGAAATGGTTTATGTATCTCCATATCTGTGTGCTCAGCACATATCTCCTCCATCAGACTGTAAACTCCAAGAGGACCAAGGCCATGTCTTTTTTGTTTACTGCTTCACATCCAGTACCTAGAAAACAGTAGGTGTTCCATAAATATTTGTCGAGTGAACAAATGAATGAATGAGTGGTGAGTGAAAGCAGAGACAGTAAGAGATGGGTGACAACAATCCTCCTAAAAAGAAAGACAGTGGTATTTGACTCACTCAATATTATGAAATAATGATAAGTGTTTGTTTTGTCCCTTTGTTCCTTGTGTGATACGAAATCAGAACAGTGGCTTTCCATTATTTAGGAAAAGACGGTCTTTCCAGGGAATGGGAAATGAAGACGGAAAATATCCTTGCCTTTCCCATGTATTCTTCGATTTCTAGTAAGTTTCAATTCCATCTGATTGTATTCATAATCATTCATTTTTATACAGTATCTATAAAATGAAAGTATTTTATATGATATTTATTAAAAACAAAGTTCTTTGGTGCAATTGAAATAAATATGTCTGATGGAGCTACCCATGGAATTATTCAGCAACAATTACTATTTTGCAGGAGATTTTTATAGTAGAAATTTTTGCTTAATGAACAAAAAGACCAAAGTAAAACTGACAATGTTTTGATAATTTCGAGATGGATTGTAAACACTGTGAAAAGACCTGCCTCCCTGTTGGAAGCTACAGCGATCAATGCGTTGACCTCTGTCTGGAACTGCATTAACCTCTTTCTACAGTGAAGAAATTTGAGAGCTCTGCTATTTTTCTTCTTTAGAAACTTTCGCTATGATAGCAAGCATTTTTTGGCAGGTTGCATTATTTCCCTTCTGACTCAGAGAAGAGAGAGCCACATCTACATTTGCATGTAACATATAAAGCTACAGTTTGTGTAACACAAAATATACTGTGAAAGAATGACTGTTGGAAGTATTTAGACCCAAAGCAAATTTGCATAGGTCTCACAAGCAGGGTTTGTGCATGAATTATGTGCATCACTGCATTATTCTAGTAAACTGCATGCATTTAATATTTAGAGAGAGAAACTTGTACTTACTTTTTCCCTACTAATGGACTCTCCCAAGAAAATGCATTTTTATTTTCGTTGGACCAAAATGAAGAATGTGACTATTTAAGCTAGGAAGACCTCTGTAGTTTCTGAACTGTAGTGACCCTCTCTGTTTAAATCTGGACATTTCTTTTTAAAATATTGTGATAGTATTTCTATTACCAAAAAGATGAGAATACAAATCAATTAAATGAGCTATTACACATTCACTTAACTTAGTTTTAAGTCTAGATTTATTTATTTATTTTTTACCATTTATATTTCCTTTCGTAGACTAAACCCCTAGGTTACCTTTGCTAGTGATGCTATCCCTGCCACTTAAGAAGTTTTGAGTTTTCATGCTTTGAACAGAGAGCAACACTGGCAAGATTCTATCCGGAAGAAAATGAAGGTCGTTTGGTGCACCACCGCACCATTTCTAATTAACTCCTTACTAAAAGGCTACTTCTAGTCTATCAGTCCCCTATTGCCAAAATTTTGTTATGTAACAAGCAACCAGAAAATCTTGGACTCACTACCCATCAGCATTAATTTCTCTCTCTTCTAAGTGGGCTGGGGCCACCCCTCTCAGCTAGTTTGGTTGCACAGCTCTCCTTCCAGCTGTGGGGCTGGCTGGGCCCGCTCAGGTGGCTCTGCTTCATGTGCTCAGTCTGGGGCCCAAGATGAAGGAGATCAACCCTCCAGACGTAGCTGCTCTCACAGCAAAAGCAGGAGGCTGAGAGACAGAGTAGAAACAGATGAGGCCTCTTAATGCCTAGGTTTGGAACCAGCAACTGTCACTTATGCCCACATTCCTTTGACGAAAGCCAGTCTGTGGCTGAGCTTAAAGGTCAAGGAAGTACAGTTTGTACTTTTTTGGGAGGAATTGCAAAGTTGCCCAGAAAAGAGGATGTAAAGAGGCAATAATAGTTCAGCCTATCACTGCCAGCAACCATTGACTTGAATTATCTTCGGTTCCCTGTTAGGTCTAATATATAGTGTCCAAGATCCTGTTCCATGTTAAAATCACATCAAACCAAGATTCTTTGGGTATGATGACAAGAACACAGCAGTGACAATATAAGCTTCACTCTACCAGAAAAAAAAGTTCAAAGGTTAAAATTAATAATGACTTAACCAAAATTTTAAAAATTAGTTAACAAAACGCTTAACACAGTATTAACTGTGGTGTCCTAGTGGGTTTGTCTGTGTTAAATGGAGACAGCAGGACTCAGAAGAAATAATGCTTATTTTTATTCCCTTGGTCAGCCAGAAATGCCCAGTTACTAGGAAGGTCCTATAAGAGAAATATTTACTATTGAGCATTAAATACTATTTCATTACATGGGAATTACTACAATACAATATGATTTTTATTATTTTATTTAAAGATATTTCAAAGTTAATTTTACTTTACAGTTTATTAATTTATGGTTTCACAGCTATATAATCCAATATAAAAGGATTTTGAGGATGTTTCCAGTGGTACATCAGATATAATAAAGTTTTTTAGGCTACTACTAACAATACAGAACTTTTTAATTGTGTTATTTAAGGAAATACACTTACACTCAGTTTCTCATTTTGCTTATTAATGGTGCTCATTTGTCTGAGAATGTGGATTAGCTTCATAAACTTTCCTCAGTTCATATCTCTGCAGTCTTCTGGAATATTCTCCTCCTCTGTTCCCTCTTCCCCTGTGGTGTTGACTATGTCACATGAATCATCATGCTACCATTTGCCCATCAGAGGGAATCTTTGCAAAAATGACCAGACCTTTGTTGATCTATTACATTAACATATTTATTCCCAAAGTATGAAACTCATTTTAAAAGACCAAATTCTGTTCATTTTCTCAGTTTTCTTCAGTGAACGTTTTACACACATTATCTTTCAAAATACAACATAAGAAACCAACAAAGAAGATTAGCTTATTTATAAATTTCTAGTATGCAAGGCAGAGTTTTTCACTCTGAGGGAAATGGGGTTATGTAGCTAAAACTACTAACTTGTCAGCTGTCTCATATTCTTACTGTTATCACCAGTCTCTGTGTAAGAGACTAAATATGTATTCTTGCACAGTGCACATACTCTTCTCCATTTTTTTTCTGGTGGAAA